ACTTACCGAACCTAATACTCCTGTTTACCGTTGCTCGAGGCATCCATTTCCATCAATGCGATTCCATCGACAACGCGTCTTTCTTCTGGAATTCCCTTGGGAAACAGCTCCCCCAGTTCTCCGTTATATAGAAAATAAAATGTGAATAGATATGATAAATTGAAGGTGAAATCGCGGTGGAAGATTTCTGAGTGAATGTTCTCGCATCTGGAACGGAATCCACGGATTTTTATACCGATTTCAAACAGAAACACTAATTTCCGCTCAAAAAATTGTGATTAATCCATAAAACGATTGATTTTACAAGAAAATATGAAAAGTAATTTTCTTTCGGAAATTGAATCGCCCACAAAAAAGTTCCTCAGTGTTTTCTCCTCAAATTAATAATTTTCCGGATAAATCAGTAATTCCAGAAAACGTTAATTCAAACTGTCATATCAGAAATTGAATTTTCGATTCGTTCAATACCAATTAATCCCGAAACCGTCGATTTTTCGAGAAAATGTCAAAAGGTCGTTTCTTTCCCAAATTTCATCAGCCATAAAAAAGTTCGTCGCACTTTCTACCTGAAATCAATAAGTGTGGAGATAAATCGCTGTTGAAAACGGATTGAATGAAAAAAAAATCGTGGATCTGCCGATTCGAAAAGAATAAATTTCATTTCAATTCGATTGACAATGAAACGATCCAAGGTTCGACGATTTAGGTTGCAGCCTTGCAGTTCTCGATATAAAAGATCGATAAAAAAAATTGGGCGTCGTTTAAGAGTCGTCGCGCACACGGAGACAAAAAAAGAAGTGAAATAAAAAATCATTCACAGGTCTCGGGGCGTGAATACACGCGGAATAAATCGACAAGGGCAGAAAGAGAGAGCGACTATGAGTGAGATCAACGGCTTTTAAATATTTAAGATTCACTTGATTCCGATTTGTATTTCGATCGTGGGTGAAGGCCCGACGCTGAAGCAGACGATTTGTCGTTCACTTTCTACCGGTCAATCCATGAGTCGTTTCTCCAATAAATAAATCACCAATAGATCACACCTGAAACAATAAATTAAGAAAAAGCTGTGAGTCAATCCCAAGTTCCTACCTGATTATAATTAAATTAAATGAAAAATCTAATTAATTCAAGTCGATACTTTACTCAAATCTTGATTTATGAATTTTGAGGACATGGTACGTCTGGTATCAGCCATATTGTGAGGAAAATATTTCTCTTTTCAAATGCTCCATGAAGAAATTTCCGTTCTGAGAATAAGAATGCGTGTATTACGTGCCCCAATGAGTGACCGGCTGGACTCATTGGCATTCGTCTGAGTGAATCCCACCCGAGGCGCCTTATGGAAACAATCTAAAGTGTCAACAACCCCGTTACCTTCTTGGTCACGATTTGAAACCACTGCATCAATCATCATAATGATTTTTTTCTCTCTTCCCCTCTCGCATCAACGAAAAAGGCATTCATCATATTGTCCTCCGCCTCCATCACTTTTCCACCTTTAGAGCACCTCAGGATGCTGTACGACTTCGTCACTTTCACTCGGTTCAAATCCTGGGGAAGATAAAAATTACTTGGATACCGAATGGTGAGGGCTACATCGAGAAGCAGTCGAGGACGCCGGAGATGCGCCGTCGATTCTAGATTTTTTTTTTTTCTTTCCCGGTCAATTGCGCAATATTAAGTATTACGTTGTGTCGCGCACCAGTAGCTCCAATCGACGATTACTCGGCGATTTTTAGGGTAGAAATTAATTGGTAATAAAATTTTTTTTTCAGGAATAATTTGATTGAAAAATATCATCATTGAAAAATTAAATATTTGCATAATAATCCTTTTTTTACAACTTTTTTATAAAATAAAAAAGAGAAAGGAAATCGATCTCGAAATATATCGAAATATCTCTAAATCCTCGAAATATCTCGAACGACCGTAAGGGTAAGACCCGTGAGAAAACCGCGAAAAATTTGAAAATTCAAAAAATCGTGAAAATTTGGAAATCATCGCGGGAAGTAAAAGAAATTACGAATTATTGGACAAATTTTAGCTAGCGGTGGAGGGAGCGAAATATGAGGTGTAAAAAAAAATGAGGTGTCATGGTCATTATCTGAAAACCTCGAAAAGTTATTTGGAAGTACCGACACAGTGGTCACGTGCGATAAGACCTCATGAGAATGTAGAATTTGCCGTTGGAGAGGACAAATTCGGGCGGGACGATCCCGTAAGCTCCGAGACACGTCTGTCGCATTTTAGTTTTACGAGACTGCACCTCTCGGGTCACAGGTGTCTCAACCGGAAGTTAAACTCTATCCGAATAATCACTCCTTTCCGGGTTCTAACGGTATCACTGCAGTTTACATGAATTTTAATCGATTATTACGTTATGGGGAATTGATTTATCGCCGATTATTAACATATCATTTGTTTGGAATATTTTATGATGAATTATTCAGAAATTCCTGAGTTATTTATTGCAACAAGGACGCACCAGGAGATTCAGATTGAGATACTTTCCGAGGAAAAAAGTTGGATAATGGGGTGAAGAAAAAATATATTTCATGGACAGATGACTGGGAATTTTCTAGAGTGAAAATCCAGATTTAAAATTATTGGAATTGGAATGAATTCTAAATGAAAAAACTGAATTTTCCGGATTTTTTATTTATTTTCTCGGAATAATTTAATTTTTCTGTCATTTGATTTTGAGAGGAACGCAGGAGAAAATTCGGGGCTTCCCCGAAAATTTGATCGACGGTTTTATTTATTTCGCGAATAGGTAGACGTGGTGTTTAGCATGCGAATCATTCGCATGAGGAATTATTCAAGAAAACTGGATCGTCAGGGTACAAGCGAGAAAGTTATCCGTTGTCGCTGAAAGTCCAGTACCTCGCATGTACGCATATTTAAAGGCTTCTTACTTTATGAGTCCATTTGTTTCACGGCCTTGGTTTTTACGATCCGGGGACAAATGTCTCTCATTCCCACACAGAATCCATCACGGAAGTTGGGTTGATCATCTAACCGCAGAATACGATGTGGTAAATTCTTTGCAATATTTTATTGGCAGTCATTCGTCAATATTTTTTCTTCATAAACTACAAAGAACAAAAAACAATAACTGAACGCGAACTAGTGCATTTTATTCCCCCAAATAAATCACAATTGCATGAATTTACTCACGATCATGGTTATAGAAAAAATTAAATAGAAATTGTTCACGGTTGTAAATTTATTAAAACGAAAATGAAATTCAATCGCAGGTTCCGAAGAGTTTCAAAAAATTCTCAAATTTGCGAGGTGATGAGAGGTCTAGGTCTCCATGTTGCCTTGGAAATCCCCTCACGGACAGGACAGCGCGCGCACCTCGCACCGCGCATTTTCAAACATTAAAAATATCTATCATTGATTTTTTTAAATATAAAAATACGTCATATTTTTTGACACTATCTTTCTTTAATCCAACCGAACAATTTTATTTTCAAAGTCAAATTGGTCAGTTGAATTGCTCTGTAATTCTATTTTAATGAGGTGATACATGTTCTTCGAGAATTTTTCAGTGGCAAACAGGAACTTGATAATTCGCGACGCGTGATATTTCGCAGTTGGCGACGAGAGGTTTGTGAAAAGTGCCGACCTTCGAGGTGGCTTCTCCCGAGGTGATATTTATCGGTGAACACTCGACTTTAATATTCATTGATTCAACGAAATTATGAATGAAAGGGGAATGATTAAAATTGACATTTAGGGTTGAGATATGAAAAGTTATGACGAAATATTTTTTTTTTGTTGGATCATTCATAAGGGAAATTGGATTTTAATGACGTGGGGAAGTCATTCAGGATGAAAAGAAATTTCTGAATGTGAAATTAAAATTGTCGTGTCAGTTTTATTTTTATAATCCGATTCATGGCTTTTTTATGCTCTCCTCTTTATTATTTCCAGAAAAATCGGTGGGTGATTATTTTTTTGATTCCCTGATTACTCCTAGAGATTAATACACATTTCCCTTAATCTCGATTTTTTGAATCGATACCTCCGAAATTTCTGATTTAAACATCGATTTTCGAGCGAGAAAATCCGTCAAAAGTGACGCAAGGGCTTTAGGAATTTCACTCTCTCAATTTTGAGTTACCGACTGATCCATTTAGTCCTGCTTTCTCCTATCGAACTGCCTGTTGAACCTCAGAAAGGTACAGGGCCAGAAAAAATTTCTCCCAATTAAATTAATTACTGCGAACGAAATTGTTTCATCCAAGAATTCCACAGCAACAATAAATCAATCGTCGAAAAAAATTTTCAACCGAATCATCACGAAAATATTTTGAAATATCAATTTTTCCCGGATATTTCGGTCCCCAGCGAAAAGGTCCCACAATAAACCTCTGATATTTGAATTCCGAGATGACCCACAGGTCGAATCACTGAGGAACTCGTTTCTAAAACCAGTAAACCGAGTGAAAATAAAAGTCCCGGCGATAAAAATAAAGAAAAAGAAATTTCCACACGAAAAAAAAAGGACTCGAATCTATATTCAATATTTTCTATATTTCATCCATGATTTAATAAAAAAAAAAATTCCTCCTATCGTTCCCCGAAATATATAAATGATATACAAAAATTATATATGTATATTTATATTTTCTGCTCCAATATATCACCAAATATATCAGGAATATATCGCATATATCTGATATATTTTTCCTATTCATTCTGAATATACTGGGGATATACTTGAATATTATTATAACACATTGGTATATTGATATATCAAAATATATTTTTGATATAATCGATTTTTCGGTGGATCGGTCCCGCGTTTGGGTGGCATTTTCAGGAGCCCCTATTGGTTCATGGGTCACTGGTATCGAACCATGGGGACGAAGTGGGCCCCAATGGCGGATAAACCTCTTCTTGATGGTCTCGTCAATGGTTCACCAATGGGAAGGGGAATGACACGTGACCAATGACTTATATAAAGCCCCAACACCGGCAGGGCGCCAACACACAGTTCTCCTTAACCAGGGGATAATCAGTGTCCTGATAAGTTTTTTTTTTTCAAGTTTTATTTTGTATTATAGACATCTTTGTTTTTTTTAATTTTTATTTTATACTAGTTATCAACAACAAATTATCATGAAGACGTTCATCGTTGTAGCAGCTGTCCTCGTTGCTGGTACGTAGATCAGTGAATGTGTACATTGTGTGTGAAATATTGAATTTATTATTATTTTGTGACGTTGAGATCAATAAACTATTTATTTTGTTTTTTATCGAGTCAAGTGATCTAGTATTTTAGTCACTCGGTGGATTATCTGAATGTCATGGTTTCTTTTTTTTATTATTATTATTTGTTTGTTGTTTTGGGATTTGGAAAATTTATGGGGAATTATTGCAAATTTTTTTTTTATTATTATAAAGTTCAATGTATTTTTAAAAATTCATGAAGAAATTAGTGGCGAAATAAAAATGAGATCAATTGAATTTTCCAGTTTTAGTAAATCCAAGATATCTGAAAATCTATTAGTTTCAGACACAAATATCAAAAGACCTTTTTTATTGGAAATTTAATAAGCTGCAAAAAAGTCCTCTGGTGTTTTTCCCTTCTCCCAATATTTCCCCCTCAAATCGCCAATTGAAAAAACTGATAATCAGTCTTATCTCGTTTACCCATTCGCGACTAAATTTCTCTTGCTTTCCTCCGATTTTTTTTGAGAGGAGTTGTGATATTTTGAATAATTTTTTCCACTGATACCAAAAATTGAACAAAGAGCATTGGATTAACATCTGATGCATCATCGAGATCATTGATACCGAGTAGTGAACGGGATGCTGAGAAGAATCCGGTCCGTTGGAGTGAAAGTACCCGGGGGAAAGTCTTTGTGCCTTACATAAGACCATATTCTCGATTTTATTTCCATATATCGGCTGCACCCCCGGAGTTGAAGTAAAAAGACAATCGAAAAAATTCAATAAAACTAAAGACAACAAAACGTAGAAATTCCTCTCCGAAAGGTGAACCCCGATGCAATTGAAATTTAATAACAAGTGCGAGAGAAAAAAAATCGTCTAATGATTAAATGCTGTGGAGACGACGGGTAATTCCGTCATTTTTCCCCAACGATTGAGAAATATTTGATAAATCGGTATGCAACGTAAAAATAATTCACTAGCTCTAAAAAAATTCAAAGCTCGCGAATTTTTTATTTTCCGCGGCACAAATCGGTAAAAAATCGGTAAAAAATCGGTAAAAAATTCTGAAAGATTTGACATGATCGGGGAAAATAACGTGACGATTTCTTATATTTATCGATGATAAATCTGAGAATCCACGGGGTCTTGCAAAATTTTTTCTGTTTGACTCCCGTAAAAATTTCCAGAAAAGCAATTGTAATAATTGTAATTGTTTCAGGTGCAAGTGCACAGGACTCTTTCAAATGCCCTGATGACTTTGGTTTCTATCCCCATCACATATCCTGCGACAAATACTGGAAGTGTGATAACAACGTGGCTGAGCTGAAGACTTGTGGCAATGGTTTGGCATTCGATGCGTCGGACTCAAAATTTCTGACGGAAAATTGTGATTATATTCACAATGTCGAGTGCGGGGAGAGATCGCAATTGGAGCCGCCGATTTCTACTCCGCATTGCGAGCGTCTCTACGGAATTTTCGCTGATGACAAGAAGTGCGATACGTTCTGGAATTGCTGGAATGGAGAAGCCTCCAGGTACCAATGCAGTCCTGGATTGGCGTACGATCGTGAGGCACGGGTGTGCATGTGGGCTGATCAGGTGCCAGAGTGCAGAAATGAAGGTTTGAATAATTAACCTAATTACTTTAAAATTTTTAATTTTTTTACTTTTTTTTTACTGAACTCAAATAAAAAAGACATGAGAAAATCCTCAAATTTTTCGCCGGAATTTATCATCCCGAGAATTTGAAAATTCCCGGAAATTTCTCGTTTTTTCAGAGTGAAAATTCTCAGCGATTGTTATTTTTTATTTTTAATGTTTTTATCATTCAAATAAAAAAGTTTTAAATTCGAGGAATTATTCCGTGATTTATTCGTGGGAATTCCTGCGGGAATTCGGAATTTCTATAGAAAAAAATTCCTTGGAAGTCATTCAGAAAAACATCACGATATTCCACAGAATATACTATTATATCATATTTAAATTTATTCCAGAATATTCATATGAATTCATTCGTGATGTTCACGCTCTCTGAATTTTTTTCACTAACAGATTGCGTAATCCTTTTTTTTTCGGAGACAGAAAGGCCTTTTGATATTATAAATTCACCGAATGTTGTCTAGAATACGTAACAAATTAGTATTCATATCAGATAGTACCGAAGTGTTATTTAACGCGTTTAATTCACCGGGTATTTAATTCTTTCCAGAAGAAAAAAAAAATATATCTCGTTAGAAAGCTGGGGAAATTGATTAAATTATTTTTGTCTGATACAGTTCTCCCCCAGAACTGATAACACTATCTCCGAATTCAAACGAGTTTTCAAAACTTCTCAGAACTGAAAAATTTTTGCTCCACTTTTTTTTTCATAAAAAAAAATTGTTGACTTGTCCTCCAAAAACCAAAATCCTCCAAAATAAAAAAAAAACAATTAATCAAAAAATAAATATTAACTACCAAAGGGGCGTATCTCCTTAATAAAGTGATTACGCAATTATTTAATGTGAGAAAAAAAGTCTCAGTATTTAAAATGAGATTATGAAGTATAAAATTGTTATCGGATGGCAATTGTGTCCCCCAGAGGTTGCCGGAGGTTTCAGTTGTCCAGCAGCTGGTGAAGTAGCTGGTGCATCAGGAAGTTTTTCACGTCACGCACATCCAGACGACTGCAGAAAATATTACATCTGCCTAGAAGGAATAGCCCGCGAGTACGGATGCCCAATAGGTACAGTCTTCAAGATCGGTGATTCAGACGGCAGTGGTGCCTGCGAGGATCCCGAGGACGTCCCCGGATGGTGAGTACCCAAGACTAACCCCATCAACCCCATCTCCCAATAAAAACTCAATGATTAAAAGGCACGCAAGACCCAATTCGCACGGAAAAAAAAAATTGCATGACCTCATCCTGACCCCCAATTATCGTCTGCTCCACAGTGAGGATTACTACGGTGACCTGGACCTCAAGAGCATCAGGAAGAGTGAACTCCTGGCTGGTATTCAGGGCTCTGGAGAGTCAAGGAATGTTGCCAAGCCCCAGGGCAAGCCCAGGCCAACGCCAGTGCCAAGACCCTCACCCAATCAAGAATAAAAATCCCAATCCAGAAAAGAAAATAATCATTCATCTCCCAAACGAGTCGAGAATCGATAAAACTGGAGTGCCAAAGCTGTGAAGATTTAATTAGAAATGATGAAATAAACAAATTCATTCTCGACTCAATTCCATCCCCTCGTTTCCCCACCCTCATTCCCATCCCCCGCCCCTTCGATCCCTCACACATTATTTTTAATTTGACGATAAAAAATTTTCGTAAAATAAAATGACAAAAAGAATAAAACTAAAAAAATTAAACTCCTGGTGTTGCACTGCACTCTTTCCTAATTCCTGATTATTATTGTTTAATCGCATGATTTGATTGTGTTAATGATTAAAATTGCAGAGGAAATGTGAGTGGAGGGAAAATGTAGGTCAATGGGTCATTTATTTGTGTGGTTTTTCTTTTTTTTTTTTAATTAATTTTTGATGGATATTTATCCAGTGAGGATTACTATGGGGATGTGGACCTCAAGGCCCTCCGCAAACTCGGGTACAGGAAGTAATCGCTGGAGCAATTGATATTATCAGCGGAGATAAGGAACACCTGGGGATACAAATCCGGAGAAATGGAGGTCGTGTGTGGATTATCAGTCACGCTCTCTAATTCAATGGTTTTTTTTTTTTTTTTCGTTGATTCAGTGGAGTACGAGAGCGAGAAAATTTCACTTGGACTTGGAATTTCATTTTTGCCAAACACGTGATTGGGATATAATTTATTTTGGGAGCTGTTTTTTTTTCGGGGGATTATGGTGATTCGGTGGTTTAAAATAGAAAATGTCAATGGAATTTCAGGTTTTTGGGATTTATTCTGGTGAGATATTCTTAATCGCTCTTCAAATCGGATTTGAGTTTCACCCGCGATAAATCGGGGAAATGTCGTGTGTAAATAATTGAATCGCAAGACCTGATGAAGAAATCATTAATTTCTCGATGATTCGTTACACCTGAAGTCGCTGTAAAAATTATAACGACAATTTTAATATTTCAATTAGTTAATAATATATTTGTAGAATTATGAAAACGGAATTAATTCCACGAAATCAATTGTTTTTGTAAGAATTAAACAAGACTTGTAATTTTTTGCTAAAAGGGAGAACGAAATAATTTGTAATGAATAAAAATGTGGAAAAGGTGAAAAAGAAATGTGAAAATTTTCTTCACGATTCGTTAAACCTTCCTCTCGATTAGTATTCCCTGCATACCTGTTCGGTAGAAAGTGGATTTGGCATTACCTCCCCCTCCCCATTATCATGATAAACGAAGTGCAATTCGATTTATCGTTCAACAGCAATTTACACGCGTCGATGATTCCGCGAAAGCTAGAACTTCCACCTGACAAGACGCATTTTCCCCAGGTTGATGAAGTACCGTCTAAATCTCGCTCCACATTTCCCCCACGCGTCGAAGGAATCAAGATTTCACCATTCGATTTCACACGGTATCAGAACAATCGACCAAGTTCGAGGATCGATCTGGGATACGTGGGAACTAGTCCGAGATATCCAGAGACAGTAAACGTTAACGATAAACCTTGAAATCTATTTCAGGTACAGCAATCAATGCTCATCAACTAGTGGAAAATCCCGGAGGAGATATCACTTCAGGGGAGCTGATCGCTGCTGACGCCAGAATTCTTGACGATTTTTCAGAAACGAAATGCCTTCCTCCGCGTATTTAGTTATGTGCTGAGCTGATTCCTGATGAGCTGCCTTAACATCTGAAATAATAACATCAATAATAATAATTGAGATATAAATAAAATTTATTTTCCAATTAAATAATAAATTCCTACGAAATAATCTTCGAAGTTCTGGACATTTTGTCCTAATGGAGAATCATCTCAAACGCGTGAACAATATCGGCATGAATTTTTGCGAAAGCAATTTTAATATTCTCCTCGCCATCTTTAATAGGATCCATGAACTTCATGTAGCTGAGCCTGTGAATAATGTTTGCCATGGTGTCCTTGACATTCTCCCAAGTGATCTTCTGGCCAGTTTTATCGGCGCCCTGGACCGCAGCCCGAGTGCACTCGTAAAATTTAATGAAATTCCTGAGCATCCCGAAGGTTTTGTAAAATGGGCTGAACCTGTCGTAAGCCGAATAGCTATTCTGCTGAAGGAAGTCGTCCTTCAGCATCTTCGCGACATCAAGGACGACCTTGTCCTCCTCAGAGAGACTGGCCTTTCCGACAAGCTGTACGATTTCATTCAACTCCTCCTCTTCCTGAAGGATCTCCTTGGTCCTCTTCCTGAGTTCAGCAAATCCCCGGAAATGTTCATCATAAAAATCATCGAGAAACTTGAGATATTTGCTGTAACTCATGAGCCAGTTGACAGCGGGGAAGTGCTTCCTCTGCGCCAGCTTTCTATCAAGAGCCCAAAAGACTTGAGCTATGCCGAGTGTAGCACTGGTCACAGGATCCGAGAAATCTCCTCCAGGTGGTGAGACAGCCCCCAGAATACTGACGGAGCCCTCCCTCCGGGGACTACCGAGACACAAACACTTGCCCGCCCTCTCGTAGAAGCTCGCCAGTCTTGCCCCGAGATATGCTGGATATCCAGAATCAGCTGGAAGCTCTCCAAGTCGTCCACTGATCTCTCTGAGAGCCTCAGCCCACCGTGAAGTCGAGTCCGCCATCATCGAGACGTTGTACCCCATGTCCCTGAAGTACTCAGCAATCGTGATGCCAGTGTAGATAGATGCTTCCCTCGCAGCAACTGGCATGTTCGAAGTATTGGCAACGAGAGTTGTCCTCTTCATGATGGACTCGGTGTTGCCGTCAACCTCGACGGACAACTCCGGAAAATCCCGAAGGACTTCGGACATCTCGTTGCCCCTCTCACCACACCCAACGTAGACGATGACATCAGAGTTGGAGTACTTCGATAAAGACTGAGAGATCACTGTCTTGCCGCAGCCAAAGGCCCCAGGAATGGCTGTCGTGCCACCCTGGACGCAGGGGAATAACGAGTCCAGGATTCTTTGACCTGTCAGCAAAGGATGCGATGCTGCTAGCTTCTCGACAATCGGTCTAGGCGTTCTCACTGGCCAAATCTGCAGCATGCAGTGCTCTGTGCACTCATTATCAAATTCCGTCTCGAGAATTGTGTCGTCGACGTTGTAGCTGCCAGCAGGAGCTAGGTACGTCACCTGTCCCTGACACTTGGGTGGAATCATCATGTAATGCTTGACCAGAGTGTTCTCGAAGACGACGCCGTAGATGTCACCGGGTGCCACTGGAGATCCGGGTCGAAGGTTGAACGGTTGAAAGTCCCAGAGAGTGCCTCTGTTGATGGACGGCACGTGAATGTCCCTCGGGATGAAGATCTTACCTGACACCTCGGCAATCGTCTGCAGCGGTCTCTGAATCCCATCGAATATCTCACCGAGAATCCCAGGACCCAGCTCCACTGACAATGGTGCCCCCGTTTTCAGGACCGGTTCACCAATCGTCACTCCACTCGTATCTTCGTACACCTGAATTGTCGCTGTGTCTTTGTCCAGTCGAATGATCTCACCCACTAACCTGTCATGACCTATCTGAACAATTTCGTACATCGCTGCACCTGACATTTTGTTTGCTGTCACCACTGGCCCGGATACACCCATCACTGCACCACATTGAGGCTCTCGTGTGCATTCCCTTTGATATATCGACGTGAACTTTCGACGCCTTTTCGGCGACCATTTGCAACCCTCGCAGGCGTCCGCCATCTTGTCGGCGCACGACACGTCACACGGAGGATTAAATTCCGAGACATTCCGCGCGGGTTTTTTGTTTGAGATAAAAGAAATAAAAAAATATAATCAATTTTTAAATATATTCATATATATATACATAAATATATATTTAAAAATTGATCATCATTTATTTTTTAAATATTTTTTCAAAAGGCAGATTACCTGGACATTTTAACAGGTCCTGGAGATATTTTTTATCCACATTGAGCTGTCCAAGTAAATTAGGACAATTACTCTTGCGTTTACTCTGGGAGGAGAACCTCCTCCTGTCCCCTGAGGATTCACTCAGGGTTTTATCAGCACTCACTGGCCTCTCCGGCTCCTTCCCAGCAGGTGTTGGATCCTCTGGAATCTCCAGGTTGGCAGGAATTTTCGCAGCCTCTGTCTTATTGATCTCCTCCACCCTCGCTGCCGGATCGATCTTAATAGGTACGCTATTATCTGTAATTAATTATTCAATTAATTTTCAATTGTTTAAAAGTTCAATTGACCATTAAAAAAATTAATCCATTCAAAATGGCCGCGAGTCATTGCACTTCCCACGCCACAAAAAAAACCGATAGTATTAAATCATATTATTATTTATATACAATAATTATTATATATGAATAATACTTTATAATTATATACTAGAATATCTCTGAAAGTAAATGCCCATGAAAATAGGATTTATTTCAGGAATGGCGGCTTTGAAAATAATTGAAGAATAAATTAAAAAATGGGGTAGACACCTCCGAGGATGTTTTGAATGGCTTCCTTGGCTTTCTGCACCCCCAGGCGAAATTGATCAAACTCCGGTCTAATCCGCATACCCCGGTAGTAATAAACGAGACTCAATTCGAAATCCCCCAGGTGATAAAGGGCTTCGGCTTTGTAGTACATCGCCCTCGCATTCCCCGGGTCTTTCACTCGTTCGTTCAACGCCGCCTCCGCGTCCTCCAGGGCCTTCTGGGGTTCCCCCAGGAGAAGATAGCATTTACTCCTCGCTAAGAGGGCGTTCTTATCGTTGGGACTCAATTCCAGGGCCTGAAAACAAATTATTAACATTTCATATCTCATTTTACAAATTTTTTATGCTTACCCAATTTTTTAATATCATTATTGAATTGCAGAATTATTAAAAATCGTTCATAAATCACCAGAAAATTATTATTCATAAAAAAAAAATGTTATCAGGCAGTTTAATGTTTATTTAATATTTGAGATGATTAAAGGGAGTTTTCGCTATTTTTAATTGAGAATTCAGAAAAGTTTCAGCAACTGCTCGGAATTTAATTCTTAAATCGGCGAAATGAGTCTTAACTCAATTAGCAAAGAGTGATTAAAGTTTGGTAGGAGCCGTTTCCTTTGAAATAGAGAATTTCGTTAATGGTACCGGAGTCAGGAGGTACCGTGTTATCCCGAGACATCGTAAATAACGATAGATTATCGGTATACCCCGCCCACACCGAAATATGCGGTGGCATACCAAAAAACAACGGTATCATCAGCCTGTCCTCGCGATTGCATGACCGAGACAAATTGATTTCATCCCTCAACTTAATTTACTTTCCCCGCGATGTCGTAAGACTTATTAAAACCGACATGCGGTTGCGGAACGAGTGACTGACTCTTTCCCTCAAAAGTAATATTATCCCAAAAGATAATAATTCAATAAAAATCTCATTTTGTAATTCCATTGTAAAAAATTGTTATAGAATTTTTCCTCATTTTTATGTGAATTTTTCTCCATGAAAAATTATAATAAAAATGAACTAAAAAAATGAATAAAATAAAATAAATAATTTATCTGAGCCAACAATCAATTATAATTAAACAAAAAAATTAAATAACAAAAAATTATGTAAACACCGCCAGAAAAATGTCAGAAAAACAATATTAATAGAAAAATCGATGAGATAATAATAAAAACAATAACCGATAATTTTATTTGACAGTTCCAAGGTGGTGATTTAATTGAGGAATTAATGATTAATGGGAAGACGATAATTGGACCTTGTGAATGCAGTTGATGGCGATATTGACATCGCCGGATCTCATCTCGCGTGCAGCAAGAGCAAGAAAAGCCCCGGGTTCAGCTTCTTCAGGGGTCTGGAGTGCCTTGGAGCGATCCTGTCGCCTCTTGATCTTGAGTGACTGGATAATATCGCGACTTCCCATATTGACAGCAGCAGCCCGATCCTTATCAGTATAAACTTCCTCCTGCTTCCTCTGCTCCCGACTCCTCTTCTTCTTATTCCTCTTGGTCCTCTGCTCAGCGATCTCATACTCCGGCGATCCCTTGACCAATCTCCGAGACCTCCGAATGGCCTTCACCGGCTTCACCCTCGGTGACACCTGATTATCCAAACGACTTGGACCAATCTTCTCCTTCTCCTTGCTCTCTTTCCTGATTGGCTCCATCAGGGTTGACTTCTTCTTGGGCTCCGGTGCCCCATCATCAAGATCTATCCTGACAAAACTCTGGAGAAAATCGTTGTCCTGGAGGGTTGGCTTCAGGATATCCGACGCCTGGGATATCACAGCATCACCAGAGAACACTTCCATTATCGGTAAATAATCTGTTTGTTTTTATAATCCGTTTCTTCGGGAACAACTGGAAGGGATTACCAAGATGTCGGAATTTTTTTCACTATTCCTTACGTGTGGGTATCGACACCTCGGGGTAGGTGGCTGGTAACCTAGGGAACAGTCAACAATGCGCCACATTCCGCCGGTTTTCGGCGTCGGATAAGGAATCCTATATCGGTTTTATCACATTCGTGTTTATACCGTGTTTTCGTATATTTTTACGTCATGCGTATGAACGTATACTCCGGGAGCTGCATCCTGGGGGGATATCGTGCCATTCATGCAAACACTAAAAATCATACACCTGTTGCCGTGATGAAGGTCATTTGTACATCACCTGGTGGCTGTCACCTTGGTTATTGCCCGTGAATGCTACTTGTTGATTCATTATTTATCAAGAAATCATTGAGTTCACAATTTTAAAAAAATCCCAGTCATTAACTATTTATTTATATCCATTAATAATGACAAATAAAAATTTTATCTCAAGGTAAATCCATTAATGATCATTATTAATAATTATCCATGGATAATTCAATTATTTTTTTGAAAATAATAAATAGAAAAATAAGTAGATGATAAATATTTAGAGGAATGAGGAAATAAAAGTGGAGGAATTGGAGGAATTGGAGGAATTGGAGAAAATATTCTGTGGAATTTGAGAGGGAAAATTAATCCTGATTATTCGAAATTAATTTGTTAACTTACTTTGTTGTATAATAATAAGGCTTTGCTGTAGAGTTTACTCTTCAGATGGCCTCCAGCTTCATCTACTCGTAATTTAGTCTCGATTTGCGCTGCACTCTTCTTCGTCTTCTTTCCATCTTTGTTCTTCTCTTTATTTTTCTTAGTTTTCATTTTCTGCGGATGGAATTATTCCAAAAACATTAAAAAACCATAAGATTCCACCGGAACAATAACTTTTTCGATCGAAAGACAGAAAAAAAAATTCAGTCGGAATAATCTAATTAATTCCTAAAAAAAAAATCACGAGTCACAGATTTTTTAAAATTTTTCTACAATTCCTACAATTAAGTGAATAAACAATTGAAATGTTTAATAATTTCCTTCAAAATCCCGAGACTCCAATAAAAATTAATTCCCCCAAAAGCACGTGACGAAATAAAATACCTCTCCCATAAAAATATACACGCGCTGACATGTCATTAATTAAATAATAATAATTGATTTTCACCTTTACTCAGTTGAAATCCCGAAATCCGCGGATCTCATAAAAATTTCCTCCGTGGGAGGTGCCACCAGGAGTTCAACTGACACAGCAATTCCAAAACTGGAGTAAATAACTACCTGCAATAATTAACAACAAATGTAGTGGTGAGAGTAGAGAAAGGGGCACGAAAATAACTTCAACCCCTCACCACATCAATCTCAATTAAAAACTTTATGAATTCGCCTAATTAAAATTCACATTCACTTAGTTATCAGACGCTGGCAGGTGCTGAAAATTCCAGGATTAATTCTGATTAACTGGAATAATCTCGATTGATTGATGATCATTGCTGTGTGTTGGGAGCTGCACGACTAACTGCTGCACGAGCTGCAGCAACTGAGAGGTAAAAAATAAATGGGGTGAGTACATTTGGGGGTGGAAAAGCGCGCAAACTCGGAATATTTCGAGGCTCTCTCCTTCAAACAAACACAGGAGAAATACCTTTCACCGATTAACTAATGTTTTATGTGTGGTTTGAATAGGCATTCGTCGGCCTATCATGCAATGGAGGAACAACAGCTGGAGACAAAAAAAAAAAATATATGAGTTAAAAATATCTGGAGGTGAATTACTGGAAATTTCATGCAACTTTTATGCAATTACAGTACAGGTAAATTATCAGAGAAAATTATACGACTTGACAATAAAATAAATTTATTGCATATTTACCATTTAATTTATTAAACTCTCCATTATTTATTTGTTAATCAATTGAGGGAATTGATTAAATCATGATTAACTGATTTATCTCATTATAATTAATTGCATTAATTGAGATTTCTTTTTGTAAATTAATTTTCTTTTAATTTGAGTTGATTTGAAAAAAAAAAATGGAGAATTCGTCGAACGATGGGATTTTTTGTGGGAAAGGCATTTCGAGTAATTAGAGGGAGGAGGAAATGAAAATTCTAGTTGTTCACGATCGTCTTTCGTAGCCGATGAATTATTATCCTCTTTTGTTCGTTTTTTTTTTTTACCTAGGAGGTGGGGAAATATATCCCCAGGACACGCTCCAACTCCGGCCCCTTCGACATAAATCAGTCAGAAGTTTTGATTGTTTGAGGATGTAATGCCGGAATTTTCAGTGGCTTGACCCATACCCTCTTCAAGTACTTTACTTGTAATTACCAATCGATACTGAGAAGGGAAACCGAGTGCTTACACGTGACGTTGAAAGAGGCCAGAATTTCAGACCTCGCGTGATCCACTGTGTCTTATCCATTGTTTTTTTTTATTTATTTCTTGAATGAGTATCGAGGAGATTTCAACGAAAGTACTATTGAGGTTTTTATTTATTTATTATTCATGCCGTTCCAATGTATTAGAGTCACGTACACGGGGACAGGAAATTCCCATTTACTGGAGAGAACTCTGGATTTTTGAAAAAGAGATTTCTCCGGTTGAGCCATTTTCCAATTCCTGAAACCATTCCTGCATTGACAATAATTATTAAAAAGGATTAACTAAAGTAGAGGCTTAGTTCTGGGGGTTTGAGTGACCCCAGCAGCATCGTAGTACTGCACCCCCCGAGAGGGAGGGGGGCACAGGGAATGGGGGTGTCCATCAAGTCGACGGGGTGAATTTTATGTTTTGCGGTATGAATGCTTTTTGTTTTTTA